CAGACTCCTTAAATAGGTAATATAGAAAAGTTATACATGTAGCCAGTTGTACACTTGTCTAATAGTTCATTATAGATTCGTCTATATAAAACATATACCCGCTATAAGTATTAATAAAAAGCTCGGACCAAAGAGGTCACCTTAATACTGAAAAAAAAAAATTAAACTTAAAATATGCTTCTTAAGTGAGTTAATAACATTTGAGTCTTTATTTTTAATGCATAAAGTTTCAAGTGGATTTAATAATAACAACTTTATATTTTCTAAGCTTTCTAGTTTTAAGTTAAATGGAATTTGAGGTGTAGGTTCATTCTTATTATCATCATCATTTTCTTGAAAAGCAATTAAAATTTCTTGGTTTGAAGAAATCTCAGTTGTAAATAAGTTATTATCAATTTTTATATATTCTGAAATGGATAAAAGATCATCAGAATTAATTAGAAATTGTTTAATAAGATAATGAACTTCTCTTTTATTATCTAGATATTCATCATAATGTGTGAATTCTTGCAAAAAAAATTATCATTATTCAATTCAACTGAAAGAATTCCTGTTTTATGCTAACAATTCCTAATTGCTTTACTTGATATCTTATTCTATACTAATGTACAATAATCTATTGCTTCTTTTATATTGACTAGGATCAGTTCTGACTGGGTCTCAAGTGCAAATTCATATGCATTCAAACAGTTTTGAATAAGAAAATATCTATATTTGGCCTAAATAAATAAATATTTTGTTAGTATATAATAATAGTATATTACAAACTTGTCAACTAATTTAGAATACCTTAAAACAAGAATAAATTACTCTTTTTCCTTTTTTTGTTATTTTTTTTTATTTTTTTTTTATTATTTCTTTATTTTTTTTTTATTATTATTTTTATCTTTTTTTTTTTTAGAATAAGAATATTCTTAATAATGGTATACAAAATTAATTAGCAAATTTGTAATACTGTACTTACTTTAAAAGAATTAATTATCTTAGCATCCATCAATTGAAGATGGGCTGTGGTATATTTAGGCAAGTATACTATTTTTATATTAGTTAATACTATGTGGTCTTCAAGATCATGAGTTGGTACATTATCAATTAAAAGTAATATTTAGTAATTTTTAAGATGCATCATTGAATTCAAATTTTTTATATAATATTGCCAAATAGATTTTTGTATCCAAGTAGTCTTGTTCCAAAAATACTTAACTGTTAATTTTTTTTTGTCAATATTTCTAAATATATATGGGTTTTTATACTTATAGATGAACAATAGTTTTAATTTTTCTGTTTCTGTTATGTTAGAAATTAATAAAATTGTAACCTTTTATTTTATTTTTTTTGTTTTTAAAATTGGACCTGTTGCTAATATATGAGAAGGTTTTATCCAATAATACAAACTAGTTTCATCACAATTAAAAATATCCTCAAGCCTATAAGATTAAGTAATATTTTGTAGTTTATTTTTAAATTCAGGTAATTTTTCCAAAGATGTATTATTAGCTTTACCTTGCCTCTTATATTCACTAATGTTGTGTTTTTTTTTAAAATTATGTAACCAACTATTTAAAACATTAAATTTATCTTCATTCAGTAATGATGCAAATTTTTTTACCTTATTTTGAATAAGATAGTCTGTTGATATTTGCTTATTATCTATAACATATTCTATCTAAAGTGTTATTGCTGATTCAATATTAACAAAAACAGGTTTTTTGTTTCTCTTATTTGTTACATCTTTTGAATCTAAATTAATTGATAACCAATGATCTCACTTTGCTAAAATTTTACTACATGTTAATTCACTGATATCATATTGAGCAACAAGATCACAATTTTTAATACTAGGTTCTTTTTTTTTTTAAAGATATAAATTATATTTTTGTTTGTTAGTTAAAATAATTTTTCTTTTCTTTTAAGCTTCACTATTACTATTATTGTTTTGTTGCTTATTTGTACCAGTATTTATTACTGCACTTGTTAAATGAAAGACATAAAAATTTTAACTTTTTTTTATATTATACTGATTAATAATATTATACAAATACTTTATTATTTTATTTAATAATTCATTATATAAAAATATTCATTATAACAAGGTAATTTTGTTATGAATAAAAAATAAATTATTTCATTATATATTATAATAAGGTTTTATAATTAAATTCATTATTATTTTGTTATATGTTATAACAAGGTTTTATAATTAAATTCATTATATTGAGGTTAATTTATTAATAAAAAATTTTAGCTAGAAAAAATCTTTGTTATAATGCCATATTCAGTTTATTGAGATTCATTATATTGAGATTATACTGTATAAATAAATGCAGAAGAGTATAATAACTTAGTAAAGTAGATAAGTTGTCAATTTTTCAAGTAATAGATTGTAAATTTAAAACCTACTAATAACAAAATTTGAATAATCATCTATGTAATATATAGATGATATTATGATAACAGTATTTCATCAGAAAATTTTTAAATAGGATAAAAATCGATTGCAAGCTGCAAAGGTGATTATAATCAATAATAATTACCTCGCAATCGATTTTTATCCTATTTAAAAATTTCCTGATGTTTGTCGATTAGTTCCTGTGGCCATGCTTAGATTTTTTGTTGAGCACAGGCACGAGCCCAGGTTGTAGACCCCTAATGAGAGCCTGATTTTTAAAAAATATTACATATAGAGGCCTAAGTCTACTGATGAATGAAAAACGTGATCACGGAACTACCGTGCCACAAAGTACTATGACCATTTGACTTATAAACGTAGCAAAATTGCGATTATATGATTATTGATTGTTTTATTATAGGCATTTAGAGTTATCTGGATATCAATTATTAGATAAAAAAACAAATGAAGCGCTGATTACAATCATTTTCGCTTAAATATTGTATATATAAAAAATAAGGTTAAACTGAAAAAAAAATTAATAAACCCATGAACAATAATAAAATCTAAAATTTAGGTCCAAAACCGGCCCGGCTCGCATTTGGAAACGTTAATTATTAATCATTATTTTTCACGTGTACGCGTAACCATTATCGACTCTATCCATCTATACTAAAATTTAAAATTACTGTTATATATTAGAATTTCACTTTTTAAATATATATAGTTCTAAAAATGGAAGTTAATAACATATTAAATTGCCCAAGAAATTATCCTTATAAATACCTAAAAATTCCGAATAACGGGAGCTACCAACAGACATCAGGAAAGGAATCATCTTGTAATTTCAAAATATATAAATGTTAAGTGAAGTTAAATACATATTTGTACATAAAGCTATGCACATAATCGCTATCGAAACGAAGTGATTAATAAACAAATTAATAAAATTGCGCATAAAAATCATGTAACTCAAGCCATTTAAAGAAAATATTAAATTATCCACCGAACATTTGGCTTTCGAGAAAACCTACGTAGAAACAATAAAATTATAATAATTGGATATTTCAGGAATATATGAAATTATTTACATCTGAGATGACTCATAATATTTTTATAGTATGACGTAGTGAGACCCAATCAACAATATTAGGCTATTTCAAGCCGTTTGAGTAACTTTGCTAGATACAAACCATATCAACTTTATATTGAACGTGTTTTGTGCGCACTGTTATTGGTTACCAGTACAGTACCGTACTGGAATTGTGTATGAATATTTAGCCAATCAGAAAAGAATAGAGTGCACATGTTTGTTATCTTGAATTTCACAAATCTTTTTATAAAAAAAAATGTAAACATTAGGTAAATTAGTGGTACAGCACTTACAGTGATCATTAATACGAATACAATTAGTAATTGTAAATTTACAATTTAAAAACATAATTGTTTTTGATTATCAAAGATTATCCGATTGGAGAATAATCATTTTTATAGCAACTGAAAAAAACTATTTACACGTGATGTTGTTTTGTTAGCTTATTATACAAAGCAAAGAAAGATAAAACCTTTTCTTGTTACCAGATAACAATGGGACCATTTATCATGTGCGAATATGGGATAATTAAATAATATTATCCTAATTTATCATTATATGTTTAATCTAATCTTATTTGACTAATATATAAGTTATTTAACCTGACAGGTATATAGTACGTACAGTCATTGCAAATCGAAAGCAATTTGTGTATGCAAACTTTTTTTACACAATATTAATATAGCAATGTGATAAAAAAAACAATTGTGGCTTTGCTCAGATGACCTTAGGCGAAATTTATTAGTTTTTTTTTTTTTTTTTTTTTGAAACAAGTTTGTGAGTCATCTATTGACGTTTGGAAACAAAAGAAATTTGTAAAAAGTATGAAATCTAAACTAATATTATTGATATTAAGATATAAAGTAAAAATATATACTTTTGTCAATATTCGCAAATATATAACAAAGAAAAAATTTTGATTTGTACAAAACGAAATGAGTTGTAAAATAAAGTAAATAATGTTTAATATGGAATAGAAGGTGAAAAAATACAAATGTCCATAACTAAGAAAAAAAATGTTTAATATCCTCAATGCTGTACTACAAATGATACCAGAAATTTTTGTAATCGAAAGCTCTTCGCAACGCACGAATGCTTGAGTATCAGTTAACTATTAATAATTTCCAATAAAATCTTCACGGTTATTTTCAAAAAATTCTCTCAGACTCTTTCCTGTACCGCCCGTAATGATCTCTAAATCTCGTGTTACTTGAACTCTTCGAGAAGCACCAACATAACCTTGCAGACCCCATAATTCTAAAAGGTAAGCAGCTATCTCTCTATCAGATGTTATATCCATCAACATCCGTTGTAATTGTCTGATGGGCATTAATTCTACTTTGATTTCACGCCCTAAACCTAACGACGCTTTAACCGCGATTTCATGAGTTGTCAATAAGTTTGGGCCTGTTATCTTATATTCTTTGCCACCATGTCGTTGGACAGGACAATAAAGAACATAACAAAGCGCACGAACAATGTCGCTAATGTCACAACATTCAAAGATCATGTTTGGATTATCAATCATCGGTATTTGCGATTTTTCACATATATATCGCGAGAAATGTAACAAGTGCTGACTTATCACGCTGGGATATCTAATAATGGTTATTTGAGAAGCATCAAACGAATTTCTTAAAGTTGATTCAATTATTTCAAATTGATCACGATATGATCTAATGGGAATTGAATAATGTTCAGAATCTTCGGTTGGAGACAAAGGTGGAGAGTATGGTGCATCAATCTTTGCAAATGGAGTAGGAAAAATTATATGCTCTACATTAGCATCCTTGGCCGCGTTTATGTATCTAAAATATATAATTATGAAGAATAAGAAATTGTTTATAAATGAAAATTACGGTAAAAAAATATCTATACGTACCCTTCCGCGAAAGCAAGTACATCTTTTCGTGTAATCTCACCACTTAAAGGGTCAATCAATAAAAGTAATTTTGACGCACTATTTAAAGAGGTGCTAATAACGGACTCTGGTTGATTTACAGGATCAACTTCGGCGATCAAAGCACCTCTTTTTTCCAGCTCGATTGATTTCGAAGTTTCACGGTGTACTCCAGCATGAACCGGAACCTTTAAAAGGTGTGAATGAAGGTTTGGCATTTCTAAAAGACCTCGGACGATTAAAAGACCTTTGAAAAAATCGAGATTTACCATTAAACACGTGAACGATATTATACTGGTTTTTTTTAAAAAAAAAATAGCTTTAATATATACCGAGTTCGCCGTCAGCTCCAGTAACGTGTATAGCATTTTTTGGTTGCATGTTTCTTTTAAACGCTTTTAATGTAAACAAAGTCTTGAAAAAAAAATTATATTTTTGATTTTATTTAATTTATTTTTTTTTTTTTTTGGATCTGGGGGTGAGCAGGCATGTTTTATATTGATTTCAGAACTTGCTTTTACCAAATATGGTAAAGTCAGAGATCTTATTGGTTAGGCTGTAGGATAATCTTAACCGAATCTCTTCTAATTGTTCTTGTGTCAAAATCTCAATTTAAATGTGATAAATTTTAAGATCTGACTGCCGAATATGTGATATTATGACAGTATGAAACTCACGTGGAAAAAAAAAATCTATGGTTGTAGATGGCTTAACTACTGTTATCGATATTATCAGTAAGATCAGAACTAACCCCACATTGTGTATTTAGCCTTATCGATAGTTATAAGAATCTAAGGTCATCCAGCCCAGAACGAAATTAAAAATCGCATTGAATTTCCATTTGGGGAAGAAGAGAAACCTATGAGTCAAAAAGACGTAACCACGAGTCATGATGAAAATATAGCAGTTTTAAGAATTGTGATTTTCTTATCAGCTTAATACACAAAAATGCCGAATGTGCATTTGCACAACATCTCGATTTGTATTGGTTAAACGCTGATCATATTAAGGATATTGTAGATTGTTTTTCTTATCTTTGAATCACACGATCAATAAACAAAAAGATCAGATAAGTGATCATAAAAAAAATTCAGATTCGATGGATTTTTACGATATGTTTGTACATACGTACATGCATAAGGTATCATACATGCATGCATACATACATACCTACTAGCGATGCAAACCAAACCCGAATAGGGCAATTACGACTTTTTTTATCTAGTTTGAATTTGGGGGGTCGACCATTATTGTGATTCCGGTGCCCTTTCCTTCCTGCATATTCCAAACCTCATCGACCAATTAACGATCAGAATTTTGCAGGTAATTCGTCATTCGATCAGTTGTACAGTACGCTTGTTCTCCAATTTCAGAATTTAAGCTAGCGAGAAATGCCTTGCACAAGTTTCTGTTGATGGCTTTTAAGGTTAGAACCAGCTTTTGACAACGTCCTTTATTTCTTTTATGTTCAAATAAAGGGTAATAATATTTACTAGTTGTTTGCTAATGTTTAAAATTTATTTTCAAGTAAAAAAGTTTTTGAATATAATTTATTTATTTTTTTTTTCTTTTTTAGATATTTATTTTGAACAAATATTTTATATAATTATTTTTAATAGTTTTTTAATTGCTTTAGAAGTGTCTTTAACCTTATTAATTGTTAAACATTTTTGGTTTATGAATTAATTTGATAACTTATATTATTATTTTGAAGTTACTTAGTATATAAATTAAATTGGTTTTGTTTAAAAATACAAGTAAATATTATTTAAATGTACATATAATTAGAATTTAATAAAATCTGGTTTTAATATTTTTGTAATAAATAATTAATAAAAGATAATGATTTTAATATAGTAGTTGAGTTATTATTTTTCAAACAGTAAATTTAAAGTTCAAATTTTATCAATTAGAATTTTAAAAAAATGATTCTATTTTAGAAACTTGAATAAGATATCTGTAATTGTAATCTTATAGTTCTGGTTTTACCAAACCTAGTGTTTAGTTAAATAATTTTTTAGCAGATTACAGATATGGCAGCTAGTTTAAAACCTGTAAGTGAACTACTTAAATAGATAACCAAAAGCTGTATATGTGACTAGTTGCATACTTAACTTGTATAAGTTATATAACTATAATTAAAATACAATAAAGACAGTAACTGCTAATAGTTAATAACTTTAGCAAAAGTAAAAAAAAATTCAGCACTTATAAAGAGTTTGTGCTTATTTTTTTTTTAAGATAACTTTTTTGGTCTTTTAGTTTTTATTAATAACTTTTTTAGTAATGTAATTCTATAAACTATTACAAAAAGAGTCTACAATTAGCTATATATATAATTTTTTTATATTATCTATTTAAGAAGTTTGTTCAAAAATTTTTTATTAATTGTTATATTTAATACTTTTGCTTGAGTGTTTTATTTTAAACTTTTTAAATCTGCAACTTATATTAATATTACTAAATTATATTCAGATTATTATCACAGCTTAAAATTATTTTATTCTTAAAATAAACCTTCTAGAGTTTTCTGTACTTATTTTTTATAACTAATCTAATATTATTATAATAGGACCAATACTTGCAATTAAAACTAATCATTAAACTACTATACTCTTATAGAGTTTACTCAAATTCTAATATTTACTTCACAGTATATTTTTAATATTTTAATATACTTTTGCCTGTTCTTCATACTTCTAATCTAGATAGTCAGCAGAACTATAATCAGTCTATTAGTATATTAGATTAGCATGATATTCTTTTTCTTTAGTTCATTCTGATGGCCTGATTGATATTACTTCTATTTAGAGGTTTTAGTCTGTTTGAGTACTTTGATATTAATATCTGTTTTTAGTAATTTAGTCTTTATAGTAGTATTTTCAAAGATTTGTACTATTTTTTTACTTGGATTTTTTTAAATAGACTTCTTTTTTCCTAATTTTAACAGGTTTATATAATTACAAGAACTTATCTAGAGTTTGTATTATTTAATGCCAGTTTGCATTTCTTTGTATAACTAGTTATACAAATGCTCTATAATCTGTTAGTCATGCTAGTGCAACTATCATTACAGATATCTTAACTTAATTATTAGAAATAGTTGTTATAATATAAGTATTATATAAATAATTATCTAAATTTTTATTATTAATAAGATTTAAATATACAATTTATTACTTAAAGAGTTGACAACTTATTTACATCACTAAGTTACTATATTTTTAAAGTTTGTGCTTATATAAAGATAAAAATAATATAAAAAATATTAATAAATTTATAAATATAACTATAATAAATTTGTAACTATTTAAAAAATACCTATAAAAAGATCGACTGTTTTAGATATTAATAATAAACCAGATATCTAAATATATTCAAATCTAAATATCTAATAAATAAATAAATAAAAAATAGAATGTATTGACCTAGTAAAGTAGTCAAATTAACAACTTTTCAAGTGGTAGATTAGGTGTTCAAATCCTATCAATGATAAAAATTTAAATAATCATCTATATAATATTCATATTATGACAACTGTTATTAATGATTGAGTTAGGATATCTATAATGATAGTTATATTAGTATAACTGGCAGATCATGAGGCATTAGTGTAACTAGTTATACAAAGAAATGCAAACTAACAAATTAGGCAGTACAAATACTAGATAAGTTCTTATAGCCATGTAAATCTGTTAAAATTAAATAACAAGAAGTTTATTTAAAAAAACCTAAGTAAAGAGATAGTCAAATCTTTGATGACCTTACTGTAAAGACTAGTTTAAAAAAATAGATATCAAGATTATAATACTCAGTTGCAGTATTTAGACAGACAAGAATCTCTAAATTAGGAGTTTTAAAGATACTACCAATCAGTTTGCTAGAACAAACTGGAAAAAAAAAATATTAAACTAATCTGATATACTAATAAACTGGTTATAGTTTTATATAGACTATTTAAATTGGAAGTTTGAACAAAAAGCTAAACAAAAGGCAAAGATATACTAAAATACTGAGGTTATATTATGAAGTAGATGCTGAGATCTGTATAAACTCTATAAAAACATAGAGTTAAATAATATAACTCTAATTACGAGTATTAGTTCTGTTATAATAATACTTAAATTAGCTATAAAAATAAATATAGAAGGCTTTAAGATGTTTATTTTAAGAATAAAATAGTTCTAAGGTTGAGATGATAATTTGAATATCTGAATATAACCCAGTAATATTAATACAAGTTGCAGATTCAAAGTGTTTAAAGTAAAATATCCAAGCAGAAGTATTAGATATAGCAATTAGTAAAAAATTTTCAAGTAACCTCTTTAAATAGATAATATAAAAAGTTAGATATGTAGCCAATTGTATATTTTCTGTAGTAGTTCATTAAAATATATTACCAAAAAAGGCATTAATAAAAGTTAAAAGACCAAAGAGATTATCTTAAAAAAAAAATAAAAAAAATAAATAAAAAATAATAAAATAAAATTTTAATTTTTGTAATTAATAATTTATTTATTTATAAGTTTCTTAATCTTTTTAAGTTAAAGTACTAAAAAAACAAATACTTAATAAATAATTAGCTTATATATATAATAATATAAATAAATAGTTTATTTAATAAATTATATAATTTAATATTAAATAAAAAATTTAAAAATATAAATTTAAGAATATGATGACTTAGTAAAGTAAATAAATATTACTCTTTTAAGTAACAGATTAAAAGTTTAAAACCCACTAATAAAGGGTATAGGTCTTATAGCTTAGCGGTTAAGCTCCCATACTCTCCATAGTCAAGGTCAATAGTTCAAGTCTGGCTGGAAGCAAATTAAAAGATTTTAGCTTCAGTAATCTAATAAGGAGCCTGTAATTGAATGCGAAGCCCTGTGATTAAATCCAAGTGCAGTACAATAATGAAAATAAGAATTTTCGAAAGGAGACCCAATCGTGGAGTACAGGCACTATATATAACAAGTGGTTGTTACAGAAGGTTACAGTTATAAAAAGATTGTACATATAAGTCCTTTAGGCTAGGACAGCATCAACATCTTTATATCTCCTAATATAGGCAGTACTAACATCACTGCACCTAAATTGTAGGATACTTGCTTGAAAGGATAATCAACAGATTGTGCAAATAAGTTTTAATTAGGATTCAAGAAGAGGATTTGATTGGAAGAGTATTCTGAAAGTAACCAAGACTAGAATGGTGAGAGAAGCAATAAACATGAGAACAGACTATGATAAAGAATTAGTTTAACCAAAAATTGGAAGCACCTCTAGCATAGCCAAATAATCTAATTATAGAAGAGAAAAATCTTGGAAGTTGGCATATAACTTCCTTGTGCAATATAAAAGTACCAAATTGAATTCCTGGTTATACCTATATAGAAGTTTATAATAAACAAGACTGGGATCAACTAACCAATATAAGATAAGATCTGCAAGATAGTATGGCATCACTGAGATTAGTATAACTTTCTAGGGCATAATCAGAATTGTTCTGCAAGTATTATTGAATAAGCTAGAAGCTTACAATATATGATAGTATGGTATTACTAGGGTCAGAAGAACTCTCTAGATATAATCAGAATTGTCTTATTTGTAAGCATAACAAGTTTTAATCCCCATCATAAAAGGGAGCATCATGTTGGAGGTTAAATGCAGCATTGAGTTATTGTATGATATTAAGACCTGGAGCATCTGCAAAAACAGCAACAGATCTGGCTAGAGATACAGATTGGTCAAAAAGACTAATGGCAACAGCAGATCTGGCTTGAGATATAGGTTCTTTGCAGATTCTAGACCATTATTGGAATACCTTAGAGGAATCAATAATAGGCATATCAAAGATAAGAAGATTATAAGAATCAAATATACCTGAGTAGGACCAATTTGGAAGTGATATAGTAACAAAAAAGTAAGATATATAGGGAACAAGGTAATACTAGATATAGTTAGATTAAGAGGCAGAAGAAACAAAACTAAGTAAAAAAACATGTAAATAGGATATATGGGTATAATTTACAGAAGACAGTACTTCTGGCATTAGGGATACTGTATTAAGTTTAGTAGGTATTCTTATCTGTGTAGTGGTTTAATGATGTATTCTGACCACAAGTGATTGCTAAGATAACTGTATACAGGCATGCAGCAGACATGCATTTAGGTGCCATATGGGTAACTGGGTAAAGTCAGTAGTATAAAATTAGATAGTATATAGTACTAGTAATAATCGATCCTAAAATGTAACTGTAAATTTGTACTATATCAAAATTAAAGCTAATAAACCAACTGGCATTGTCACCAAAGTTCAAAAAAAAAAAAAACTACTAATAATAAAGATTTGAATTAATATTCATATTATAGTAACTATTTTTTGTTAATTAGTTAAAACAAAATATAATTATATTAGTATAACTGGCAGATTATAAGATATTTATATAATTTTAGTTATACAAAGAGATGCAAACTAATACTAAACAATACAAATTTAAGTTAAGTTTCTGTATTTATATAAATTTGTAAAACTAAAAAACTAGAAGTTTTTTAGAAAGATTTAAATAAAAAGATAATACAAATTTTTAATAATACTATTATAAAGGCTAAACCTATAAAATAAATACTAATATAAAAAAATCTAATAAGCAAAAATTTTTAAATAAAAAATATTACCAACTAGACTTCTAAAATTTAAATTAGAAAAAAAAATATTAAACTAAACTTAATAA